ACTAGGTCAGGAGCAAAGTATTTTGGAGGCAATGAACACTTCGTGTTTTTGCCAATACTTTTTCCTTATTAATAGTATGCAGGACAACCTGCCTTAAAATAAGAAACGTGGAAAAAAAGCACAGAATTTATTTTTAAAGCCCCTCCACACATACTGCACATAAAAGCAGTCATACAAAAGACATCCTTCACGACTACTCCTCCCTCACACCTCAACAAGGTGTTTACAGGAAGAATACACTGCCAGTGTGCCAACCTCCTCATCCAGCCCTGTGGTACCCACCAGTGAACCACTGTTAAGCTCACACTGTTGCCCAAATCCCAAGCAAACAAGGTGACTGCAGTTCTGCCAGTCTGCAACTTATGATCCTGATTGTTAAAGAGCAAAGAGTTCTTGTATGAGCCAACCTCACACTTGAAGAGCCTCCTGATTTAGGCTGCCATTACACAGAACAGCAACTAGTGTCAAAGACCCCAGTAAGAGATGAAAAATGTAATGCTTGTCAAGCACACGGGCAAAATTGATAGAAGTTCACTCTAAAATGCTTCAAAGACCAGATTTATCCACTTTTTGTGCTAGCACAACCACTATACCACGCACTCTTGTCAAAGTCTGAAAAATCATGTGGTTATCCCTATCAAGATCAGAATTGCTCTGCTATGTGACCTGGCAGGGATAAGAACAAGAACTATTACTTGTTAAAAACTTCAGTTTTAAAGGGCAAAAAGTTAAAGGAAGTAGAAGACAGTACGAGTGATCAGCAACTAAACTAAAAAGAATTCCTCAAATTATACCTTTACTTTCACATGGAGCTGACACTCTTCTCATCTAAAAAACTCTCTCATACCTACTACCACTTAAAATTAAATAATCCCTTGAAATATGAAGTAACTTCCAGAAAACCTATCTTACAAATTAATTATGAATTATAGATAATCCTAATATTCAATTTAAAGAAGTGTTTTCCCCCTCCATCCCCAGCGTTATCAGCTTTCTTCCAGAATAGCTATCTACAGATAAGGCAAAGGCAACATTCACAGAGCATTGGCCACTCCAGAGGACCCACCCAAAGCTCACAAAAGTTTCAGATGTGAAAACACAAACATTATCACTAGAAGGAAAAATAGCTTCTATTGCTCGGTATTTGATAAAGTAACAGATTTATTTAAAGAAAGTTCTTACATGCTTCTCTATTTTATCCATCAGACAGAGAAAATCTCCCTGGAATACTTCTGATTTTCTACTGAGGTTTGGGTTTCCTGAGTCCTGTTGCAGGGTTGCCCACTAATGTCAAAGTCACAAAACCTTTTTTATATGTTACCCAATACAATTACAGTTATACTTTCTCAAAATCAAATTTGCTTTTAGAGAGGCAACTAGTTGTGTATAGATAGAACAAATTCTATCTGAATTTCACAAGCATTCTCATCCCACTATCTGAAAGTAAAGCAAAATGGGAAGTTCATGAGTCTCTCTAGTAAGTTTACAATTGATTTGTAGTAAAACAGCATACCTAGGCATGTGTAAACTGATAGGCACATGTTCATATCTTAATGACCCTCTAATCACCTGCTCATTTCCTCAGCCTGGAATTGATTATTCACCAGAGGCACTTTCACTCTTCTAACTCTCCTGAGGGCTTCAGTTGAGCCACTGTTAGAAATCAGACACTGGGACAAATGGACTTTTGCTCTGTTCCAGTATGGTCCTTCTACAGTAAATCCCATAGTAAGTCAATGCACTGACAATCAACTCCAGCCAGCAACTAATGTGACTTGGTGAGAACCTGCTAAGGTTCAGGGGCACCACATCTGGGAGATGTAAGGGTAAAACACCAATGCAATTGCAGGTGGGACAGATACTGAGTGATCGCAGATGCTCAGCAGCCCTATCAGACAGTCTGTTCTGAAATTCTATACAGGGCTTTTGTGCAACTTGAATAAACAGAAAATAAAAAAAAAGGGGCCAACAGTTTACAAGCACATTATACTTAGCAATGAGGACAGCAGTCACTCAGTAGAGGAGTTAAAATTAGGCATCTGGGGAGGAGAAAGCCCTCTAGCACTTAGATTTAATAGAGTCACTTATTTACTGCTCACAGAATTGCTCTGCAAGAATACAAAAGCAGCCTGGAACCAAAGCATTTCTCCAACGGCAAAGTTTCTCAATCAGGGAAGAGTTTACACTTGGCAACTAATACAGGCTATTGGGAAAGTTTTGTATTGAAATGTGTGTTTCTCTATCTTCATACCAAAATTCTGAAAATAAGCAGCTTACGGCAAAATGTGATTTGCTTAAATATTAAAAGGTAAAAAATTAAAGATGAAACTGTAAACTGTTTGCATGCTTTAAAATTGTAAACTTGTCCACTGAATAAAGCATAAATGAGATTTACAGTAGGGAAAGAGCAAATTACTTCCACACTTCCATAGTTCATCAGTTTAAAGAGCCTACAACTCCCGGCCAAATCTATTTCAGTGAAAAGAAGTGAAACTGTGTTTGTTTTTCTTGTAATTGCTATTTGCAATGTATTTGGTCGCCTGAGGGAAAAAGACAGGCAATTACCATAAAGGTTCTAAATACACTTTTAAACACTAACAGCCTCAAATTTCAGACAATTAACTGAATTACAATTATTGTCCATAGACTTGGACACACATCCTCAAGTAATTAAATTTAGTCTGTTACAATCCACTGTTGGTCACGATTTTTGATGTATCACTGCTGCTGAGACGGCACAAACCACTCAGGGACCCAAAATGCTTTAGCGGGGGTAGGGAGGGAAGGGAGGGGAAGCAAATCACAAAACCACCAAACGTTTTTAATTGAACTTTTCCCCACTGGAGGTTAGACATGTTTGTGAATTACTAACATAGTCAAACATAAAGGATTCAAGAATGACATTGCCTAGGGAGTCAATTTTGCCATCCAAGTAGAAGTAGAGGCCAAGTTGAAAAGAAGAAATTTGGGTGTTCACCCTGGCATTCACACAGCCTTTTCTCTCAAAAGCCAGGAAGGTTAAGTATAAAAAGCAATGGGCAAGTGTGCAGAAATCCAGTTCTATTGTTGAATGAGTGGGACAATTAAATGGAGTACCTAAATGGAGATACAGTTTTGGGGTTGGGTTTTCTGTTTTGGTTGTTTTTTTTTTCTTTTTAAATCTAGCACTTATTTATTCTTACATCTGTTTTTAAAGATGTTCAAGTACAAATTATTTCATGCAAAATTTTCAACTTGTCTGAGAAAAGGAATTTGAGGACACAGGCCCCAAGTTTCCATATATTGAAGCACAATTCAGTTTTACCTGCTTGCCAGGGTATCTGTCTTAAGAGACCCTGAAAAATCATTTGCCTTCTTTTGCTACAAGTCATTGCTAGATACGACTATTTAGTACTTACAGTCTAGTTTTGCCACATATGTGCTAATAGGCCTCTTAAAACTGGTACCATATCCAAAAGAAAGTGCTGATCCTGAGAAACTGCAACTCCTTGACAGGGTCAAGATAGCAGAAAGTTCTGGCACCTTGCAGGACTGCAAGAAATCCCTGTACTTTAGAATCATTAAAGGAGACATCTACTTTAAATTGAATTGTTAAACAACCTGATTTTTGTTTAACAGCCTTGATAATAGAATGTGAACTGGGAGTAGCAGCTTCCACGGGTGCAGGCAGGTCACAAGCTATCAAACTGGCAACCATGTGGGCAGTCCTCAACATATTTGAGTTTAGTGCACCTATACAGAATTAAATATGTACATATTAGGGTGTGGGTGTACATACACATATTAGGGTGTAGTACATCTACACCCACAAAAACATCACCTGTCGCAGTCAGAAAACAGGACTGACTATCCCTTTACCAGACCAGGACCAGACTTTTCTCACAGGCACAAAGACCAGAGCTGAGCATTTCTAACATCAAATTCCGTTCACTGGGTGGATGTGGCTGGTAATGAACAACTATCTTTTCCTGCTTCTCTGCTTTATGATACACATGTGCTGTACCACAGCTGAAAGAGTATGAAAGAACAAAGCGTAACCCAGGAAGAACATGGTGCTAATCCATCAAGGTTGTTAGTTTGATCTTCACACAGGCTTAAGAGCTGGACTTAATAATCCCTGTGGGTCTCTTCCAACTCAGAATATTCTGTTACTCTTGTCTCTTGTAACTTAAAATCAAGCTAAACCCTTCCTCTTTGGTGTTAAGGTGCTGCAGCACCTCATCTGTGATAAGCCATTCTTACCATACACTGTTCAAGACAAGATGTACAGGGTGTGAAGGGAAAACCATTGCAGTGAGCCTGCCTCTGACTGCCCCTTAGTTAATGCATTTTAGAACAGGCCCCTTTTTATTTCTTTAAACAAGGTGAGTTTTCTCTTGGGTTGGCCTTCCTGGTTATGCTGAATCACACTTTTTCCATTAATATTACAGCTGCTTAAACACAAACCCAAGCAAAACAGCCTCTCCTTGGTTTCTTCTTGGGAGTTTTATATTTTGGTAAATTTTCCTTTAACCTGACCTCAGGAGACATTCTCAGCCCTACACACAGACTTAAGACAGCCTCTAAGGAAACTTTGTAGTCAAGCACCAAGACTAATAAAAGCACTATTCATCTAACTAATACATGAAGCTTTTAGTGATGAGTCAACCTGCCCAGTAAAATTAGAGACACAGTTTTTATCAATTTATCCAACTCAGCAATAAGCAAAATGACTGTATACATTCTAATGCAAATGTATAAGTCAGAGCACCATTCCAGTTAATGTGCAAGGTGAAATTTGAAGGTCTGACTAAAGCTTGATGTGCTAGGTGTGGTTTATTATCTACCTTTAACCGTTTTTCATTTTGGCAGCAAATTCAGGGCTTGTCATGCCAATTTAATTATTTTACTATTTGGACTTCGCATCTTTAACAAGGCAGTTGTACTAAAATTCTCTACTCAGCTTTACGTTTCCCAGATTAGTTTTAAACGTTTAGAAAGTTTGATCAAGCTGAATTTCCATTCTTAAGCAAACTAGAAATGCGTCAAAAAGGTTTTGCAGTGCTATGGCATCTCTTAGAAAAGCTGACTGCATTTCGCTGATGCAGAGCGGGGAGAAAACTGCAGTCTCATTTTAGAGCTCCAAGAGGAATAGTGGTGATAAACATATTTTCCACCTAGCCAGGGAAGAAAACGCAGGATAGCACCAACAGCCACTTTTGCCCGCAGGAAACGAGGTGGGGCATCCGTGGAAAAGAGAATTGGAAAAGAAGGAGGGTACCGGGAACGCAGAAGCACGGCAGCAGGAACTCGCATCACAGCAGCGTAACTTTCAGCAGCAGCATCCTCCTCCCGTGCTGCTGCTGCGGCTCCTCTCCCCTGGGGGTACCGGGGCATGGCTCCGCGGCCCGGGCCCGGCGGGCAGGGCGCTGGCCGCCCCCCGCCGCCCGAAGGAAGAGGAAGCGGCGCCGGGCCCGCAGGAAGTGCGGCTGCCCCGCGCCCGCCGCCCCCGGCCCGGCGGCCGCTGGGCCGTGACAGGTGGCGGCGGCGAGAGGCGGCCCGGCGGCGCCGGCTCCGCTGGCAGCGCCCGCCAGGACCGTCCGTCACCCGCGGGGTCGCGGCGAGGGCTCGGGCAGCCGCCCTCCTTGCCCAGCGGCGCACCTGCCCTGCCCGCCCCTACCTTGTTGAGGTGGGGGTCCCGGAGCACCTCGTAGCCCCTCTTCATGGTGAGCTGCAGGGGCCGGGCGGCGTCCCGCTTCTTGTCGTCTCCCTTTCCGGCTTGCATGGTGCGGCGCGGCGGGGCTGACTGCCGGCAGGTCGCTGCGGGAGCGAAGCAAAGTGGCGGTTGCTCCTCCTGCCGAGGTGACCGCCCGGCGGGGTGGGATGATCCTACCGGGAGAGAGGGAGGGGGCAGAGCCGCGGCGAGGCGCCGCCGCCCCGGGAGAGGGTCACCGGGGCGCGCTGAGTCACCGGCGGCTCCGCGCACGGCCGGGCGGCCACCCAGGTGCGAGGGGCAGCGGGGGTGCGGACCCGCAGCCCTGCCCTGCCTTCTGGCGCAGCGGAGAGGCCGCCCGCAGAAGCAGGCCGGTCGGGGATCACCTGCTGCGGGAGACTCTGCCTCGTCACGCTGGGTTTGGCACGGAGGCTGGCGAGCCCCCGCCCGGAGCCCATCGGCCGAGACTCGCGGCCCAGCTGAGCCCCCTGGCACGGCCACACGCAGGAGCCGGGCCTCTGAGCTTGAGTCACGTTCAAGTTTCACTTTCCTTCTGCTATTTAAATGGCCATGAAATCCAATCTTTCCCGGAGGGGACGGACTGCATAGCTTCGTACAGTCAGGAGCACATGTTTGATGTAATTAGCTGTGGGCTGGCTTCAGCTTTGGTGGTCGGGGTTATGCCTGGTCAGGATGGAGAGCACTGGGGCAGAGCGGCTGTTCAGCTGGTTTGTACCACTAGCCCTGATGTTTGTTTGCAGTTATGTTCTGAAATTCTTCGCATACAACCCTTTGTGTACTGCATGACTGTGGCTTTATGCCTCTAAATTCATGTATGTAAGCAAAAATAATTTCCATATGGATGCCGTAGTCCTGCTGGAGAATTTACACAGCTTTAAATGTGTGACTAGAGGATTAATTTAGAAGGGTTTGGTTTCTGTTGTCAAGCAGCAATGAACAGATACAGATTTTGCAGCTCTTTCAAACTTCACATTCAAACTCTTCACATTAAGCAGTAGGCCTTGTATCCATACCTAATCCTTTATTAGAAAAAACCAAATAAACTTCCACAGAATCTGGCCTTTACCAAATATTCTATTAAGTAGCTCTGACAAGTTTATTTGCAGATAACTGACAAAGAAAAGTTGGAAGCGTTCCAAGTCTCTATTTCTGGAAACTTGACTTGCAAGTCAGCAGAAAACTCAGTAAACAGATTTCTCCCTTGCTCTACCATCTCAGTATTATGGAAGGCAGTAAACTAAAATTAAAAGTTTCTTCAAAACTTTAAACTTGGAGTCGTTCTGATTAATTATCCAGCTTTGCTTGGATTTCACTGCCTAGTTAAATACCTTCCTTCCCACCCAAGTCCTGAATATTACCTTTAGTAGGTATCAGGGATATGGGGTTTCATTTCAACTCTTTCTTAGTTATAAAATTGAAAAGCAACATAAAAACATCCTTTCTCCTTTCTTTGCGAGTACACTGAAACTATTCTGATAGAATGCTAACCTAGTGCAATATTTTGTCTGAGAGTAATGTGCACTGATGTAATTTTTATCTTCATGTTGCAACACTTTATAAAACAAACCCGCCTTGATTTATGTGAAAAGTCACTGCAATCATTGTGAGTACCTGCTCAAAGCCCTGAACCCTGCTAAGAACTTGTCCTGACTCACTTTGCCCAAGTTATAAAAGGTATACAATGAAACAGCTAATTAAAGTCAAGTTCATTGGGATATATACATAATTTTTAATGTAATCAGAATTCAGAAACCATTTACTACTGTGTTTTAAGTGCGAATTTACTCCTATCTTCCTAAAAATATAATTTATTTCCGTTTGTTATGTTCAAACACTAATAAAAACTAAATCATATCTATCTTTTGAGATGAGTTGTAAGATTGGCAACAGATCTTTTCAGCTCAAAAGGAAGACCAAAGAAACAAGAAAAAATTGTGTCATGCGTCATCTGTCACCTGTAGAAATCTTCCCCTTGAGAGCTGTAACATTTTACAGTTTAATGAGATTAGTAGGGATTTATTTGTCCAAGTCTGCTGTTAGTGATTACTTTTCTTCTAGACTTTACACCTTTCTTCAAATTCAGTTGTGCATTTGTATTGCCTTTACAGAGTATATTTGATAAAGAGAAATTTTAGAATGGCTTTTCTAGGACCTCAAAATATTCAAACCATAAAAATAATTCAGAAGCCCAAAGGAGTAATGCACAGCATTTACATCTGCAGTTTAAGGTAATTTTTCCAAAAGAGGACTGCATTGCATAATAATTGCATAATATAGTCCTATTTATAGGACTATAAATAAAGCCTTTGTAAGTGACCAAATTATTTGTAATGGCTGTGTACACAATACAGATTTTTTGTAAATGTTGGCCCACATTCTGATTATTAGTGGGCATTGTACACTACTGGTGTGTTTCTGACAGAAAATACAGTGGTTTTGCCCTTCTGACAGGCACTTAATTCTTTTTCTCAAATGGTTTCTATATGGAACACTTTTAAAACTCTTACTCATTATTTTTCATAAGTACTTATGGTTTCTTCCCAGCTTCTTGTATTTCTTGTCTCTCTCAAATCTCCTCAGATCTACTAAGGATATATGAGAAGCTCCACTTGAAACAGTCATAGGAAAATAAAAATTTAAAAAAATACTAGAAGGAGGATTGGTGGTGTGATTTTACCCCAGCCAGAAACAAAGTAATATGCAGCTGCTCACTCATTTCCTGAGAAGGGGCGGAGAACTCAAAAAAGGTAAAACATATGGGTTAAGGCCAGTTTGATAAACAAAATAAAATACAATGTAGCAATAGTAATGACAAGGGAGGTAACAAAGACAGAGAAGTAAAACCCAAGAAAACCACGTGGTGCACAAAACAATTGCTCACCACCTTCTGTCTAAACTCCAGCCGATCCCTGAGCAGCAATTGGCCCCTCATGGCCAAATCCCCTGATTTAATTTAATGAGCACGATGTTGCATGGTATGGAATATCCCTTTATGTCTGCTGTACTGGCTATGCTCCCTCCCAGCTTCTTTTGTGTCTCCTTCTTGGCAGAGTATGAGACAATGAAAGTCCTTGGCTGAGGGTGAACACTGTTGAGCAGCAGCTGAAATATCGGTGTTATCGATGTGATTCTCCTACTAAATACAAAATGCAGCACTGTACCAGATATTAGGAAGAAAATAAATTCTATCTCAGTCAGAAACTTGACAACCTACTTTGGCAAGCCAGTAGTAAGGACAGATAAGTACGGGGAAATATTTCTTTGTTGTATTTAATTAAGATTACTCACTGTGTTTAAATATTTAAGAATGGAACTTGGGAAATATCCTTGTGTTAGGCTATGAGTGATCAGAGGATTTGAACTCACTCAAACTTTTCTGAACCACTGTTAGTTTTGGGAACTGCATATCCTGCTGTGACACTGGGGAGGGGTTAGCTTTTAGGCCTACCAGTCTGGAAGAAGAGAAAGGGAACTCCTATGTCTTGATGAAAGCATCCAGTTAACTACTTTTAGGGTGGTACTTGTGTGTGGTGTCTGACTTACCTCATTAAGATCTGTAGTTGAACTATTATCAACTAATGGTAACAGCTGGGTGCTCACTGTAGGGTAACAGTACTCCAGGCAAAACCTCATCAGCCCTGAATCAGTGGAAAGCTCTACTTCATCGTTTGAACCATGCAAATGCCTCCCATACTTGTCAGCACAATGTTTGCTTTTTTGCAATAGTGCGACACTGTTAACTTCTGCTGGGCTTGTGATCCGGCACAACCCTGGGTCCTTTCGTGTGGGGGTGGAGGCTGGGTGAGTTCATTGGAAGAGACTTTTAAGATCATTGGGTCCAATTAAGCCAGCACTGCCAAGTCCAACATTAAACCATGGCCCTAAGTGACATGACTACACCACTTTTAAATACCTCCAGGGAGAGTGACTAAATAAAAGATGGAGATGCTCCTTTAACCCTCCTTTTGCTGCTCATGTATTTATAGAAACATTTGTTTCTATACATTTGTTTGCTGAGTTACAACTCTATATTGAGTGACAAATTTTTTTATTGGGTTGGCAATACCAAGTTAAATTTGGCAGGGACACGAAATTAGTTTAAAAAAAGATTAGTTGTTTCATGATCTACCAGCAGAATTGAAGAATTTTTGAAGTCTCTATAACATAAACATTTTACAGTAGTGGTAACAATCCTGACTTGTGCTAGGTAATTTGAAAATGAAGTTAAATTTTTCATCATTGAGAGATATTTTTTTAGTTAGGCTGATGGAGAAGCAAAAATTGAACTGTATAAGCAGTATGAGGTTATTGTTTAATAATGATATTTTTCATTATCTAGAAGTGATTTTTACAACACAAAGGTGGATTTTGAAAAACATTTACTTCAAAGTAGATAATGTACTCCTGACGTTAAAGAGTAGAATCTACTAGAAGGTTTGAAATGCCCAAGTGCCAGCACTCTGAGCACTGCCAGCCTGCCTGTCCCTGCCCACTCTGCCATGGTTCAATATCCCATATCAGCTCTCAGGTCATCGATCACTGGCCCAGCAGCACCACAGCCCTGCCTGGGCCTGACATGTCCTGGACCCTGACCACCTGTGGGCTGACTTACCAGCCTGGCCTCCACAGCCTGGTCACTACAGAGTCACTCAGCAGTCACGAGGCTGTCCCTGACCCCGGTTACCCTCACTGGGCTGACCCCGCGCCACGTCCTCAGCTCAGCCTCAGGCCAGCCTCAGCAGCACTGCACACATGGACAGGGCTGCCCTCAGCTGCCCCGGCCTGCCCTCCCCCTCCTCCTTCAGGGGGGGTGACTCCTTGCCTGCCTTGCTGGCCCAAATGGGGACCCCCCTGGCCCCAGCCCACACCTCACCCTGGCCAATGGGACATGTATGGAGAATGCAGAGCCAGGTTCTTTTCACAGATGACAAATGCAGTGCTAAGAGGTGGCAGTA